TTTTGGGGGGTATACTTTGAATTTTATGTCTTCTGAATATATTATCTCCCTAATTTAAATGAAAATAAAACAAAAGTCAGATTTCATATTATTTTAAAATAAAGTTGTTACATTCTGTCAAACAGGGAATTTTTTTTTTTTAATTTTAAAAATTTTGCCTTCTGTTGTAGATCAGGTGAGAAGTAGTTCATTCTTACATTGTAGTTTTACTTGTAGACAAGTTTATCGTTATCTGTCAAAAGCCTCTAAAACTTTATATTACTTTTGACACAGCATTTTACCCTAAGGAAATAATAGAGGTGTGGGCTAAGGAAGACATATACAAAACCATATTTTTCATAGCATATTTCCTAAAAACAAAAGATATAGGTTAAACTTCCTAAGTATAGATTAAACCTCCAGTGGGAAGGACAAACAACTCAGTACTTTTTTTTCGTACTCTAAAAGATAATATGCTGCCCTGTAAGTTATATCATAGGGAAAATAATTAATTTATACTAGAAAAATGTAAAAATCAGGTTATGATATCTTATAAGGGAGAACATACAACATGTTAGTCATAAGTATACAATTTAAGAATGAAAGTGCTAAAATATTTAAAATTATTTATTTTTACAGTATTTAATGATAAATTTGTTTTATTTTTACTAGATGTACTGTGAAACAGTTCTATTTAAAAACTATTTTCCAAATATTCAAATTGGAATAATTTCTTAAAAAAAAACAAGTACACCTTCATGTATGTTTATAGAATTTTAAAATTATTAATATCTATGACCTTTGTCTGCTTTTATTTGAGAAGGTATTTCCTGAACAGTTGCTTATATCAAATTCTGCTTAACTGCCAGGTATTCTAAATTCTAAAAGTTTGCATATTAAAATGTGTAACTATTTTGAACCACTTATTTTTAAAAATGCATCCTTTTACTTTCATTCAGAATGCCTTCTACAAGTACTGTATATTTTTACATTGAAAATAAGACTTCTGCTTTTAGTTGTTTTTTTTTTAAATAATTTTTCCAATTTAGTTAATCCAAAATCATGGGGCTTCTTCATTTCATCGATGTCTAGAATTTAAATACATCTAATTGAAAATAAGAGCTCCATCAAATCATTATTTTGTAGGTCAAGATATTGCAACTTAAACTTACACATTGTTTGAGTGCTTTAATTTATTAGTTCATACTTTGTTTTGGAACAACTTTTAACATCAATTGTTTGCAAACTTCTTTTCTGATAACCACATTTCACTAGAAGCTTTGTTCTTTGAATATACCAGAGAAATATTTTCAATGGACTTTGGACAAAATATAATTCAAATTTATTATCAAAATAATGAGTATGATTGTAGGACACTTAGATTTACCTTGAAAATTATTAAAAGTTTATCAAACATTTCTAAAATTCTGTTGTTGGTAATCAGCCAAGAGAGAAATCATGTTTTTTACTTATTTTATTGTTATTCATTGTAAATGTATTCATGTACTTATTATGTATAAAAACATATGTACATTTAGATATCTATACTTCTTATTTTGATCATCTGAAAAATCATAACAAGCAGAAATTATTATTTACTTGGTTTTTGGCAGCTTTTTTATATTTGGAACTTTTCTGTCCTTGACAGTTTTATTTCTTGTTCTTGAAGATTTCCTTATTTTTCTGAGTTGTTATTTTCTCAGCGCTGTGTGTGTGTATGAAATTTAATATTTTAGACTCTTCTTATGAGACACTACATAAAATAAAAGATGACAAACCTTGTATATAATTTAATATTTTGAAAGGTATTTCAGTGTATTGTGACTGAAGCTTAACTTCATGACTTTTGCCAGAAAGTTTCGACAGAGAAGGGTAAATTGTTGAACTTCCTGGGCTATATTTGACAACACTGCAATTTATTCACTACACCAAGACCTAGCTTATCTTTCTAAATGGTATGTTTTTCTTCCTAAAGCATTATGCTCAGTTATCCATGACCTTTTATCACACTTAAAATGAAAATTCTGAAATTGTACCAGAGCCTACAGAATTCTTATGGAGTTTAGATTATACTAACTCTCTAACCTCATCCTATATCATTGACTTTCTTACTTTCTGAGCTCTAGCCACACTAGTCCCCCTTAATTTCCATCAGCCCCATTGCCATTACCTTTGCTGTTTCCCCTCCTAGGAATTCTCTTCTTCCAGATCTATTCATGAGTATCTCCTCATCATTCAGGTCTTAGTTCAGACTGAGTCATTTCAGAAATATGTTGTCTTTCATCTAACATGCTTTCTTTCTTAGTAAATTTTTCAGATTTCTATTTTCTTATTTAATTTTCTTTATAACAACTGTAACTATTTAAATGATCTTTTTTTATTGTGGAAGCATGAATAAACTTGACATAGGTTTACCAGTGTCTCTCCCACAGTATAGTAGGCACTTATTATTTGTGAGATGAATGACTGTCCTGTGTAGTTACTGTATTTATATGCTTTCTTTGGTTTAGCATATAGTCATTAAAACTACATTAGTGATATTGGCCTTCCATAATTTAAAGATATTATAAAAATAATATTTAACAATGAAGGAACTTAATTTAAGCAAGGTACTGATATGTTCTGGTATAGATTTTGATGTTTTAGCACTGATCAATAAAATATAAAGGATATTGAATTCTCATTTTACATCCATTTATCCAGAAGACAAATGGATGTAAAATGAGAAAATATTGATAATTTTACTTCTAAAAGTAAGAAAAGACCCCATAGAATGGTTTAGAATTCTAGTAAGAAGAATCCATGAACTCTACTGCTTGAATAATTAATCTAGACTTCCATTTCTAACCATGGAAGGGCTTTTATCAGACTACCTTCTTACCAAAAGCAATCATAAAAACTAGAAGTATATAAGACCAAATTGATTGAAGATTTCAGAGAACAACTAACTCAATTCTTGAAGTGACTATGATCTTAAGTTCATCTCTATACTGGCGTTTTTTCCTAAGGGATTGTTCCAGTCAATGGAATAGGGCAGTAGAGGCCAAACTCAAACTGATAGTCTATTATTATTATTATTATTATTATTATTATTATAATTATTATTATATATGGCAGCAGAATGCATTTGGATTCATTGTACACAATTTACAGTACAACTTTACATTTCTATGGTTGTACACGATGTAGCGTTGCACCTTATATGCAGTCATACATGTACCTAGGATAATGATGTCCGTCTCATTCCATCATCTTTCCTACCCCCATTTCCCTTCCCCACCCCTCCCCTGCTTCCCCTTTGCCCCATCAAAGTTCTTCCATTTTTCCCATGTTCCCCCCATTATGGATCAGCATCCACTTATCAGAGAGAACATTCGGCCTTTGATTTTTTGGGGATTGGCTGGCTTCACTTAGCATAATATTCTCTAATTCTATCCATTTACCTGCAAATGTCATAATTTTATTCTCTTTTAATGCTGAGTAATATTCCATTATGTAAGTCAGGTTTTGTAACTGCTAAAATGACTGAGACATGATGACATTTTCTCAGACAGGAAGGGCTTAAGAAAAACTCAAAAAATTTCTTAGAAATTTTCCTTATGTCATTGGTGACTCTGTGTATGTATGACTGTCAAGACTCAATGAATCACAACAGAAAATTACAGAAGACAAAATGACTAAAGAAAGAGTTTAATAGTCATACCATACTGAGGAGCCCAGAGATTAGTGTTTACATCTGCTAAGGTGAAGAAACCTTGGTAAAGATAACTTGAGATCTCAGGGCAACTATATAAAAGGTAGAGGTAAATGTGAAATAGATTACCATAAAGCTTGAAACCAAGGTAATCTGCCTGTATTCAAACTGCATTTCAGGAGAAATTTAACCTTTTAAAAAGATAATGTCATCTAAGCTGGGTATGGTGGCACATGCAAGGAATCCTAGCAGGAAGATTTTGAGTTCAAAGCCAGCCTCAGCAAAAGCAAGGCGCTAAGCAATTCAGTGAGACCTCATCTCTAAATAAATACAAAATAGGACTGGGGATCTGGCTCAATGGTTGAGTGCCCCTGAGTTCAATCCCAGGTACCACCCCACCCCTAAAAAAAAAAAAAAAAAAAAAAACCATCATCTAAAGTCTCTATAATTTTTCTCTTATATGATAATGTTTCAAATAAAAAATTATAGAGCAGGCTGGGAAAAAAGGGCAGGAACATATCCTAGAGATTGTTTCTACAAAACTGAAATACACTGAAATTTATTTTCTTTAAGTTTATATGATAAACTTAATAAAATATTGGAAATATTTCTAGGGACCATCAATAGGGTATTGATTAAATAAATTACATCTATTTATATAATGTAATAGACGTTACTCAAGCACTGTCAGTATTTGGAGCAGGATAGTTCTTTATGGTATGATAATGTTCTAACCATTTAGGACGTTTGATACCTTTGGTCCTCTTGTCGTAAATGCAAGTTGTACACTTACAGTTTGAGACAAGTTGAAATGCACACTTGGTTATATGGCCCTGGGATGGGATATTTCAACGGAGAATCAACAATATCATTGAATTCTGTGCAGATTAAAAAGAAACCAAGGAGGAGAAAGCTGTGATAACAGAAGGACCATGAAGGTGCATTGTAGAATAAAATGCAAGATACAGAGGAGTTAGTATAGTTGGCTATATTTGTTCTAGGAAAAGAGGAAAATATGAATATATATTTAGATTGCTTATATATGCATGAAAATTTGAATTGATATGTAATGAAAGTTATTGTGGAGCCTGGCAGTGTGAAAGGAGTTGAGACTAGATAAAATATATTTAATGTATACTTTTTTATAATTTTAAAACGTGGATGTATTACCTATACAAAATTTTTAATCATCAAAGTTTTAGATATAAATTAACTGTTGTTAGATATAATACTTTTTACGGGATTTATTTAAAATTCATGTATTCATTAGATTTTTTTGTTGTTATTGTTGTTGTCCCCCTTCCCCCAATCTTTTCCTTTCATTCAGTGGAGTAGGGCGAAACTGGGGCTGGGCATCTGCAGGTAGCAGTATTCTGGCTGAATTTGGTACACTACATATGGAATTTGTCCACCTCAGCTACTTGACCGGGGACCTGGTTTACTATAAAAAGGTTAGTTTTCTTTCCTTTTTTGTTTGTTATAAAAGACTTCTTTAAAATTTGTTCAAAGACTTGATTAGTGCTTAATATGTTTATCAGGGCTCTGGATATTATTATTTTTTCTTTTTACCTTAAACATAGCTTTTCAATTTAAAACATTTAAAATATTTATTATTATTTTAAAAGTTTTTAAAAATACAAAAATTTATTGTCATTTCAATTGTGCTGAAGTTCTTAGCCAGCATGGTAAGATAAGAAAAATGAACAAAAGGTTTAAGAATTGAAAAGGAAGAAAGAACATACTGATTATTCACAGATTACATGGTTATCTATTATATAGATATATACTATATTAAGGTAGTCTAAATTTTTCTTTTTGGGGGAGCGGGGTAGGAAGGGTAAATGGATTGAACCCAGGGCATTGCACATGTTTATGCACTTTGCCACAGAGCCGTATCTTCAACCTGAACAGTCTTTTTCAATGACTAAACCAAGAGCTTAATGTGGGTTTATTTTTTGTATAAAAGACTTATATCGACATTAAAAGTCAACAATATTTCTCTGAACTAGCTACAAAAGGCAAGAAAATGTCATTTTATAAAAAGATGCCTTATGATGATAGCAACAAAAGTATGTTTCCCACAAAAAGTAAAGTTCGATACTTTATTAAATGACATTGGAGAAGACTTAAATAAGTGAGAGTAGGATCACAGACTGATGGTTAATACTTCTTTGGACTGCAAGTAATGTGCGAGAAGCTAGACAAATAACAAAGAATTTTACAGACAAGCTATGTTTGTGTCTGCAAACTTGGGCAAGAAAAGAGAATCCGTGACAGATATTCTGTCCTGAGCAGTGAGTGCTGCATTGAAAATCACAGTTGACTAGGGGAAAGCAAAGGGCATAAAAACATATTTACATATGGACTCTTGTCTAGTCTTATATGAAAGCTTTCTTGTGAATAGCTGAGTCAAGAAAAATAGTAATGAGTAGTTCATCAACAAAGAACAAGTACAAAATTTATACAAAAATCTTCCAGAATAAAAGAATGAAATGCACATGAGAAATACTGGCCAAAAAATATTTATCAGAGAATAGCAGTCGAAAATTCTGAGCAAACATTACCATAGCAAAGAGATAAGACCTCATTTGTATAGAACAGAATATGTAGTTACAAGTGCTCAGAGAAGATAAGATGTGATATCAGTAACAAAGTATAAGATAGAATTATTACCAAAATGAAGGCCAAAATGGAAACAATGCAAAGAAAGACAGGGTTCAAAATATAGCAAAGAAAAAAAAAAGAAGTCAAAATTGAGAAAAGTTAATGTATAGAAATTAAAAAGAAAGGAAATGATAGGGAAAAGAGGCTAAGATAATTCAATATTATACATAATTTTCAGATAACAAAAAGTTGCTAGTTTTCTCATGTTACATAATATCCTTCAGAACTATCTAAAACTGGTTCATGGAATTATTCAGATTGAAATTATTATACATAATGGTGCTTTCAAATATGAAAGGACACAGGAAATATAGACAGCGTTTTTGAACCTATTCCTAAAGCTATTTGATGATGACATTCAGCCAAATAAGAAATGATGGAAGACCTTGCAGAGAAAGGATTAGAATTATGCCCAAATCCAGAAAAAGCAAGTATGTACAAGGTCCTGTGAAAAATAGAATGTTTTCCCAACCAGTTAGAAATAATTAATACCAGCCAGATACCCATAAAATATAAACATAATATTCTCAAATAAAGAATACTAGAAATAAAGCACCTTTACTGCTGTATTGTTTAAACACTCCCCCAGCAAAAGCACTTATAAAATCCAACCAATCTAGAAATAAATAAAAATAAATCCCTGGAGAATCTCTAGCCTCTTAATATATTTTGTGATTTAATTTCCCCCTTAACCTCTTGGAGATCCCTTAGGAATTGGAATTTTAGGAATTTAGGGATATGTACTATGGGGCCAGTATTTAAAGTTAAACCATTTGGTTTTACTTCATTGTTTTTTTTTTTAATTCATTAAATTCAAATTAATGTAATACTTTCTAATGTTTTGCCTCCATTTCTATGAAATTATTAATGTTCTCATGTTAAATATGTACATATTAAATATGTCTGGAATGATATTTATCAACAATGTTTCTGATGTCTATTTCTGGATAGTAGAATGTAGAAATTTAAAATGGTATCACAGGGCTGACAATGTGTAGTTCAGTAGTAGAGCAATTGCATAGCATACAAGGGACCCAGGGTTATATTCCAATACCACTTACATATATACATCAGTGTGTGTGTGTGTGTGTGTACATACATATATATGTGTGTGTGTGCATATATATGTGCATATATATGTATATAAGTAAATAATTATGTACTTAAAAATTATTTCTATCTGAGCTACTTTTCTTTGTATCGCTTTTATTATTGCTTGATTTTTAAAATAACAATCTTGTAAGAATAATGAGTCATTTAAGAAATAGCAGGCTTTCCTGACCATCACACACACAAAAAGCAGGGAGTGGGTTATAGGTTCTTAAATGACAGAAAAAAAAAGAAAAAGGAAGAAAGAAAACAAAGACTAGACTAATACCAAACCTTGATAACCTTTATTTTTGCTCATTACATTCTTAATTTTAAATTATTTTGCTTAGGTCATGCATATTCGGAAACTACTTCAGCAAATGGATCGTCCAAATGGCCTTTATCCAAATTATTTGAACCCAAGAACAGGGCGCTGGGGTCAGTGTAAGTATTTCTAGTATAACTGATATTTTGTTAAGAGGTTAATTGTCTGAAAACTCATGCTTGATGTAGTGAAAGGTACACTGTGAGAATTAGAACCCTCAGTTCATGTCTAACTCTGTGACCTATTAGTGCTGTTAACTTTGATGAGTTTCTAATCACAAAGCTTGTTTTCTTCTCGTAAAATGCAAACATTAATAACCTGTCCCACAAAAATATTTTAATTCATGTATTTTAAGTACTTTGCTAAAATACTGTGTGGCAGTTTGAAGGGTCATACTTACTATTAGCACATCTTTGAGCACCGCTTGAAAGGATTTTGAAACACAAATAAGTTAAACTAGGAAAGGAGGCAGTTTCTCTTGGACAAACAATGTGTAATTTAAGGAAAAGATATCATGACATCCATAATTTACTGAGCTCTGTGCCAAGTTTTTGGATGTAACTAAAGGTGGGGAAAGAATATTACTGGGCTTGACATGAATTTAGGGAGCTCCCAGCCTTAGCAGAATACACTTAGAAGTAGTTGGAATATGATATGATAATGATAAATGTTGCAGTAGAGGAATATACCAGTTGTTAATGTGAAACTGTGATAGAAGTGATTCCTCTGCCTGACAGTTTCATGTTTGTTTTGGGTGGTGCTGATTTTTATTATTAGAGCTTTAGAATATTTCTTTAAAGGAACTAATTTTTTTTGGAAGGAGGGTGGGGTACCAGGGATTGAACACAGGGGCACTCGATCACTGAGCCACATCCTATTTTGTATTTTATTCAGAGACAGGGTCTCACAGAGTTGCTTAGTGCCTCACTTTTGCTGAAGCTGGCTTTGAACTTGTGATCCTCCTACCTCAGCCTCCAGAGCCACTGGGATTACAGGCATGCACCATGGCCCTGGGCAGGAACTGATTTTTAAAAAATAATAAATAATGAATATTCATGTGGAATTGTGGAACTTAAGGAATGTTAACAATTATGGATTTACCAATGTTGTTCTCTTTAAAAAGAGTCTATTTTAAAACTAAAACCATAGAAGTTGCAACTTCACTCCTAATAAAACATTTGAGTTATTTTTGAGACTAATAAAATCATAATGAAGTAATAAGAGTCAAAAATAACAATCATAGCAATCATTATTAAATTTTATGTATTGAAACACTCGTAAATTTGCTAGTGAAAAACTTTGCCAATATGAGTATAAAGAGTGGGAAAACTTTTGCCTCAGAATTGTCTTTTAGGCTCCTTTTTAGGAGTTTATTGTAATTTTGTGAAAGACAGGCAGATTGGTCCATATAGGTCTTTCAGAGACTAGATCTCACTTTTTTGGTACTACTTCTTTATTGTTGTTATAACTGAGGATTGAACGTGGGGCGCTCTACCATAGACGTGTACCCCAAGCCCTTTTTATTTTTTTGTTTTGAGACAGGATCCTAGATTACTGAGACTGGTATCAAACTTGGGATCTTCCTGCTTCAATATCCTAAGTTGCTGGAATTATAAGTTTTTGGTACTTCTACATACTTTTTCTCTATCCAAAAATTCTTTGCATATAGCTCACTTTTCTCTTCATTTTGAAAATAAGGTCTAATTCCTGGGCTGAATGGAAATTATATTATCTGAGAAAGCAAAATCTTAAAAGCCACATTTCTAAATATAAGAGTGCAGTCTTTTTCTAAAATATAAAAGTGGCACACACCTGTGATCCCAGCTGTTTGGGAGGATAAGAAAGGAGAATCACAAATTTCAGGTCTCAAAATAAAAAATAAAAAGGAGTGACGAAAAAGCAAAGGCACGAGTGGTGTGACTGTACTTTGTGTACAATCAGAGACATGAAAATTCATGCTCTATATGTGTAATATAAATTGAATCTCATTCTGCTGTCATATATAACAAATTAGAATAAATAAAAAATAAATAAATAAAAAGGACTGGGTGATTAATTGATTCAGTGGATTCAATTCCCAGTACTGCAATAAATAATTAAATAATAAATAAATGAAAGAAAAAATGCAGTTTTTGTGTTCCCACATAAAAGTGATTGGATTGAATTGGATCTCTACTTGGTATCTACTTGGTAGATTTTGTTGTAAGTTTTTATCCCTTAGAATTGTATTGAGATTGGAAATATTCTAACATTGGAGAAAAATATGACTAGTTTCTGCCTTATACCATATGCCAGTATATATTCTATGTAGCATAACTATTTAAATGTATAAAATGAAACAAACAAAAAAATGGTTGAACATATAACCAGGAAAACTTTCTAAGCATATCACTTAAAGCAGAAACAAAGGTGTCTATTTTACAATATATAAATGTTAACCTACATTTCATAACAAATAAAAGGCAAGTTATGAACTAAAGAAATATTTAAACATATTTGGAAAACAAAGTATTCATATCCTTTCTTTATTAAAAACTTTTAGAGGATCATAAGCAAAGAAAAATTAATTCTTAAAAACAAACACAAATGGACAATAAACAAATATTCATATTTAATCCCAAGAATAGTGTTAGTAAAAATAAGTAGTAGTTGGAAATAATGTAATGTGACAACATCTGTTTCTGTACAGACTACTGCTTCTACACTAGTATTTACAAAGCCTGTAATACTTGTAGCATCTCTGGACTGGTCCCCAGAGATCTTTGTCTCTTCTATTTCACCATGCCCATAAGCAAATCAATGCAGCTTTAACATCTATACATTAACGTTTATTTACTTTAACTAACTCAGGAGTTATTTATAATAGTGACAATTTTAAACATTTTAAAACAACTTTTGTCCAACAGAATTTTCTATGATGAGCAAAGTGTTCTGTATTTCTTTTGACCCATATAATAGTCACTAGCCAGACAGGGTTATAAGCACTTGCTGTCTTGTGAGCACTGTTTGGAACTTTATTTTTTATTGTATTTACTTTCAATTAATTTAAATTTAAATAGCTTTTTGTGCCTAATGCACTGCCATTGGACATTGGTATTTTTTTAACATTCTTTTTTTTGGCGGGGTGGGGGGCGGTTATTCAGGATCGAACTCGGGCACTGAATCACTGAACCACATCCCCAGCCCTATTTTTTATTTTATTTAGAGACTTTAATATGTTTGGTTAAATAAAAATTTTGGTTCCTCCATATACACAGCCATTAAAATTTGTAGTATACTTGACATGGATAAATATAACAAATCTAGAAAGACATTTAGAAAGAGAGAAAAGAATTACTTTAATAATAGAAAGTAGAATGTTCTATTTCTTCTGAATGTTTGTTTTTATTTTCTCCTTTTTGTTTTCCTAGTTATCCAAATTTGATAGTAAACATTAATTACTTTTGAAGTAGGGTTAAAAATATTTTAAAATAAAAACCAGGATGCCTTTATTTACAAAAAAAAATATTAAGATACTGGAAAAAATAAATTACAATTTGAGAATTGCTAGCCTTTAAATGAACAACAGTATAGTATAAATTAGCATCTCAATTATTGAAAAGATAACTTTTTTCCTTCAACATTGTTGAGAAAACATGAAAAAGAATGAAGTTGAACCCTTACCTTATGCCATTTACAAAAATTATCTCAAAATAGATTTTAAAAACCCTAAATTTAAGAGCCCAAACTTTAAATCTCTTAGAATTCTTAGTGGCAAATCTTCATTTCTTTTGATTTATCAGTGGACTCTTTATTATGACAAACAGATAACAATAGTTTTTTAAAAAGATAAATTAGATTTTATTATATTTAAGAACTTTTGTGCACCAAATGATACAATCATGAGAGTAAAAGACCACTCACAGAATGAGAATATTTGAAAATTGTGTATTTGATGAGGGAACACGT